ACAACTCGAACACCTAGTGTCACTCGATGCAATCTCACAATGCAACGCACTAGAATCGCACTCACTCGCAATCGATTCGCACTCTTGCAAGCACAAGTGAGTTAGAGGGCATCCAAGCACTCGTACACAAGACACATAGGCGTGATGGTGCTCAGCAACTAGCCCAAGGCTAGCCACCACTTCTATTTATAGCTCCTAGGGCTAAAAGAGCCGTTGCCCCTTCACTGGGCAAAACACGCACTGATCGGACTCACAGGTCATAATGACCGGACGCTTAGGTCACAGAGTTCGGTCGCTAGGATGATGCCATGCATCCCCTCCTTTTGAAGCCGGCCATTGGGCTCCAATGGCTAGCTCCCGCATGCGCATACTCCTGACCAGATGCACCTAGGTCCAACGACTGGACGCACCGAGGCCGAGTCCGGTTACCAATGCATCTCTACGCAACTGACCAGACTCCACTTTCTCCCACGACCAGACTCTAGGGTCCGATCACTTCAGAGAGGTTCTAGAGAGCTCTTTTGATGTTCAGACGCGTTAGGTCATCACTGACCGGACTCCCCTAGTGTCCGGTCGCTTCTGCACGTGAAAGAAACACTGACCGAACTCTCTGACCGGACTCGTAGGTACTGACCGGATGCGCAGGTCATAGAGTCTAGTCACGGACCTTTCAACACTAAAACGTCTATAACTCTTAGCTCCGGAGTTCGATTTCGATGATCTTGAACATTTTGGAAAGCTTACTCAGAGGGCTACACATCCCACTTGTATATTTGATCCAAAGCACAATGGATCAATGCAGAATTCCAATCCAAGGACCATCACAAAGTTTGGAGCACACCGAAAAACCTTTCTCTCTTCTCCAAGTTGATCCTATTCAACTCCAATAACTTCTCCTTTGCAAATATGCCAACACCACCAAGTGTAGACCACCATGTGTATGTGTTAGTATTTTCACAATTATTTTTCAAAGGATTAGCCACTCAACTTGCCACACCACTCGATCCTAGCAACGATGCAAAGTTAGATCACTCGAGTGGCACTAGATGACCGATATGTAAACAAGTTTGCCCCTCTTAATAGTACGGCCATCTATCCTAAACCCGGTGATTAACTTCTCTACACACCTATGACCGGTGAAATGAAATGCCCTATAAGTTATACCTTTGCCTTGCATATTTCATTCCATCTCCTCCAATGTTGATGCAACACATGCACCAACACAATAAAAAATGATATGATTCACTTCATATCATCACGTGACCATAGTGGTTCATCGATCTTAACCTCACTTGCTCTTCACCGTTGCATCGGTCCATCGGCACCAAGTCTTTGCTCAAGCATCCCGCCACGCGATCCAGCGCTTCAAAGCCTTCGACTTGCCCTTCACTCTTGTAACCTGTCCATCAAGCCAAGCCTCATCTTGATCTTCTCCACCTTAATCACATGACTCCATGTCATGTCTCATATGTAATGAGCTCCTTCATTACATATTCACCTGTGGACTAATCTCCTGTGTATTCTCATATAACCACATATTAGTCCACCAAGATTGTCACTCAATTACCAAAACCAAACAAGGATCTTTCACCCGGCTCACCCCCTCAGCAGGTGTAAGCGATAGCGATTCATTCGCTATCAACCCTGCCCCTCTAGAGTCAGGGGGTATTCGGGAGGGTCACCAGTCTGATCCTGAAACCTTTGGCACTCCATATCACGTAAATCTCCCAATACCCGGACGAGCTCGAAGGACCTTATTTCAGCGGATGTGTGCCCCTTCGGGGGAAATTGGAAAAAATGGTTGGCCCATGGCTGTAACCAAAGTATGAGCTCCTGGAATCTAGAAAAAGAGTTTTATGATGTGCCCCCGCTGGTCATGCTTAACCCTGCCGCTTTCTTTTAGTGATAGCGGACGTTCACTCGTTCTACCCGTTACCAGCTCGAAGAGTAATAAACGCAACTGCCGACAGCTGCTCACGTGTTCGTTACTCGCCCACAGTGGTACCCGCACCGGGACACTATTATATTGGCCTCATAGCTCTGGGACAACGTCCTCGCTCTTCCACTAATGAGGTTCACAAAAATTCGAATCACGTTACTCGACGGATCTCCAAGAAAAATGTGACACCATTAGTGCTCGACCTGCAACAGGTCACCCTAAAAAACAACTGGCTTAGTGACGTGCGGGCGATGGAGGTGCACCTACCCCATCCTCATTATTATTTTACGGCTAGGACTTAATGATGCGCAACCACTATTTACACGCCGAGATACGTCGGGAACCAACTTCTCGAGTACAGCGGTATTTTTGACCCTAGCATGGCATCCACGATGTCCTGGGAGCTACGCTTCCGGTTATCGGATACACCACCCGATCGTGATGTTAACAACGTCCCGAGGGCTACGCCTAGGAAACTACGTTTCCCGATATGGGGTGCATCACCCGAGCCAGGCACTTACAGCTGCCAGGGAACGACGTTCCTTGATGTACGGTGTACCACCGCATCACTCGATGCTTGAGGAAGTTTCTCGCTACCCGAGAAATGCTCTTGGTACTCGAGCGGCAACATATTGGCTCCCCAATATTTGGGAATATCCAAGCGCATTGCTCAGAACTTCGACACCCAAAGATGCTCACTATATACTTACAGTACGCAGAACTTACAGGGGAGACTGCGACGTCCCGAGGGCTTAAAGCTACATGCTAGTTTATCATTAAGTCTTACGGGAGCTACTGTCAGAGATATGGGACAGGGGTACCTGCACCGCTCGTATATATGACTACCACCAAGCTATCGGTCCAGCAGCCATCAAGGAGGAAGCCCGTAAGGGCTGACGCGATCAACCAACGTGGGGATCAAGGCAAACCAAGGCGGGTGTATCTGGATGATAGCTAGGATCAATCTGTTGCGCATATCGTGTAACAAACTAGGAACACAATCTGCTAGCCCGATCGCCATCCCTGTAACCCTATCTCTCCTGCCTATATAAAGAAGGGTAGAGACCTCGGGCACGGGATCAAATCTTTCAGATGTTTCATCTACCTCGTAGCTAGGAGCAACAACCCCTGTAATTGAGCATACGAATACAAGAGCAGCCGCACCACTAGAGTAGGGTTTAGCACGCACCGCGCCCCGAACCAGTATAAATCTCTGTGTCTCGTGTGCTACCATCTGATCCCGTCTACGTGATCACGTTGCTGGATATTGCCGAAGCAAAATAATCCAACACTAATCTATCCCTAATCTCTATCTCTACCTAATATTAAAGAGCAAAACATTTTCTCGACATGCTTTTTCCCCCATAATACCCTCACGGTCATGGGTCCGCCGCTTTCTTTGAGCTCGCTACGACGTACGCGGCTGATACAATGCGTGCTCATTGATCAGAGGAGAGTTCAGGTGCTCGGGGGCGGGAAAGGATGCATGCTCTTGTTTTGTTGGAGTTAATTTAGTTTCAAGTTGATCAGGTGTCGGATTCCTGGTCGAGTTTTGTTGCATGTGTTTTTCCTTTTCCAAATCCTGGTCAAGTTGATCAGGTGTCGGTTGTAGCAGTTGCTTCGTCCTACTCACTTGTAGTGAGCACAAGACCACGAAGTGATGACGAGACAGGGATGCAAGCGAATGTGGCGTCCCTCCACATGGAAAGGCGTGACATGGAGGATGTCATATATCATTGTGTGCTTGAACTCTGAAGCAGACACCATGGCGATGAAGTTCGTGTGGCCCACAGTGGTATCGCAAAGATATCGAGATGATCATGCAGGAATAGCAATGTGCCTATCCTTTCTCTTTCATTTCGCTAATATTAAAACAGGAATTTATGGTGCTACGTCCGATTCTTTTTATTTTCTCATACGATTTAGAATAACTAGCATTCAATGATAGTGTGGAGTCTGATTCTAAGTCATACCAAGTTATGTACAACACAAGAACATATTTGCTAATAAGAGCTAAAGAAGCCCTCGACACACAAAAAAAGGTAACAGGACTGAATAAAAAGCTATGGACGGCAAAAGAGCGACGTAGAAGCTTTTTTATACAACTAACGGAAACATTACAATCGACTGAAACCCTAACAAAATTGATGATAGTTATAGTATCGTAGTACAAGAGATTAATCTGTCTTGTTTCTCTTTCATGTTCATGTATAGCTAGTCTACGAGGACTGGAGGAGTTCTCCGTAGAATAAGAACTCAAAGTAAGCTAGCTGTGGCTTAACATGGCCGCTTGAACACTCCAACATCTAATCAGCAGCGCCAACGGCAGGTAGGCAGCCATAGCGATCAGACATTCAGACTCCATGGAAATTGACACAAAACATCCAACAAACTGCATCTAGAATGCCATCTCATAGAATTCTTAACCATGATCACTCGAATCTCCAAGTCTCAAACGTCCAACCAGCAGCGCGCAGTGCATTACGATCAAACATTGAGACTCCATAGAAGTCGACAGAAAACAACATCCAACAAACCGACGAAAATAATCGAAGTATACCTCTAGAATACCACCCCATCAATCAATAAGAGAGAGAAAAAAATCAACATGTTCGCTAGTTGGTTTCTACGCTGATAAGTCCGACTGGTGCTGATTCGTTGTGAGAGAAAAACACTATATCATAGTTGATAAGCCCTAACTAAAACCAACAAGCGAACAACTCGATCAACGCTTCTCCTGTATCAATGTCAATATCCAATCGTTTTCGTAAAAAACAAAACCAAAGTATCGATATTCAATCACAGAGGTCAGCGAGTCAACGGCTATGCATGAGAGCCAGGCGCCAGCCTGTCTCACACTCCCGACGCCAGAACGCCATCTCAGCCCTCCGATTCGAAACGAACGGTAAGATGCGTGGGCCCCTCTCCCGCACGCACGCTCCAAACGTCATCCACGATAAATACTGGCACCACCTCAAAGGCCGCGCACCACACCACCAGTCAGTCCACACAGCCTGCCTATAGAGGCCAGAACTCTGAACAGTGCGCCGGCCAACCAGAGATGGCGCCGCAAACCACCGCAGCCGGCGGCGGCGGAGGAGAGGAGGCGGTGGAGGAGGCCAGCACTCTCCGGCACCGCCACAACGCTGCCAAGAACGGCGGCGGCGAGGAGGAGGACGGGGTGGCCTCCTCCCAGTCCCAGCTGCTGGCCGGCGAGGGGGAGGGGAACGCGGCGCTGTCGGTGGAGCGCGCGTTCGCGGAGCAGGCGGTGCCGTCGTGGCGGGAGCAGCTGACGGTGCGCGCCTTCGTGGTGAGCTTCTTCCTGGCCGTCATGTTCAGCATCATCGTGATGAAGCTGGGACTCACCACGGGGATCATCCCCTCGCTCAACGTCTCCGCGGGGCTCCTCGGCTTCTTCTTCGTCCGCCTCTGGACCGCCGCCATCGAGAGGGTCGGCCTCCTCAGGCAGCCCTTCACGCGCCAGGAGAACACCGTCATCCAGACCTGCGTCGTCGCCGCCTATGACATCGCCTTCAGCGGTATGCATGCTACCTCTTCTTCTTCTTCTTGCGCTGCAGAGCAGCTCAAGTTAATAGTATGTGCAGTGGACTACTGTGCTCGAGATAATTAATATTTATTTTGAACTTTCGAGATAATTAATATTTGGTGGTACACTGATTTGCGATACTGTACTCGAAATAATTACTATTTTTTTGTCAAGGGTTTGCAGTGGGATTTCTTTGTATATCCTAGTATACGAGTAGAGTAGGGAAGCATGAAGTCACGAACACAGCTACTAACAATTTAGTATTGGAGTCAACTTCGATAGGAAAATCTTGCATTCAGTTACCAAAAAAAAATGTTTTTTTAGTATGTTGGTGATCATATAACACGTATCAAGATGGTACACGCAAGCCAAGATGCAACTCGAAACACGTCTGAATTCAGACAACCTCGAGCTGAAATAGACGACCATCCATAATGGTTAGACTCTAAGTTTATAAGTTTGACCAGCTTTTTTGGAAATAATATCATCTATGACATACGTTATAAAAATATATCATGGTGTATCTAGATATACTAATTTTTTTGTCCTAAATATTTGCGTTCTTTTCTATAAATTGGGCCAAACTATGCTCATAAAACTTAGATACGCTTAGAACAATTCTAGAAGCCCGATTTGTTTAGGACGGAGGTAGTACCATACCATGATACCTACTTCTAATGATGTCCCAGGGATGTGACGTTGTCAACTTAGTAGAAGTAAGGCTAACTACAATTGACCGTCGTGTTGCTTTCCTCTTAATTAGCATGTTTCAGGACATATTTAATAGAGTATGTTTTGTAGTTCCACAGTTAATTTCCTGTCAAAAAGTGCTGTGCTGTAACTCCTTAAATGAATTTCGCTGCACCACTCCTGAGAGAGTTGTGGTTGTTGATAGGGTGTTTGTACTTAGTTGTTCCTTTTTTTTTTTTGCTTGGTTATATTGGGTTTTTCTTCTTTCTATTAAGACCACGACAAATCTTTTGTCGTTATCAAAAAAATTCCAAGTAACAAATGCAATCTTGCTTGTTCCAAGGGGGACGCTGATGTTCTGCTTTTCTTCTTGTCTCCCTTTTATATATTTATAAATGGAGGCAGGAGCAGTGTCACTTTCTCCTATCCTCGTCTTTATGTGAAAAGAAATGTGCTAAATTGTGTACTAATCCATTCTGACTGATAGGTGGATTTGGCACATACTTGTTTGGCATGAGCGAAACCATCGCCAAGCAAGCAACAGAGGCTGACAATCCTCAAAATGTCAAAAATCCTCACATCGGATGGATGATAGGGTTTCTCTTCCTTGCCAGTTTTATTGGCCTATTTGCTCTTGTGCCTCTAAGAAAGGTAAACATTTCAACCGCTTCTGTGCCTAATACTCTTGTAGCATCACTATATAGCATATACCAACTAATCATCAACTGAAATCATCGGTACAGGTTATGATTGTTGACTACAAGCTTACATATCCAAGCGGCACAGCAACTGCTTATCTCATCAATGGTTTCCACACGCCAGAGGGTTCCAAGCTTGCAAAGTATATTGTCTTGGTGCTGTTTTCCTTGCTGTTTTTAGTTATTATTATCTGTGGCACTAGGCGTAAAGCAATGTTACTGAATGCATATATTGTATTTTTCAGGAAACAAGTAAAAACTCTTGGAAAATTCTTCTTGTATAGCTTCCTTTGGGGCTTTTTCCAGTGGTTCTACACTGGTGGAGATAATTGTGGATTTCAGAACTTCCCTACATTAGGCCTTCAAGCTTATAAGAACAGGTCAGAGCATTGAACTATCCTGGTTCAGAAAAATAGCATTCACTATTGCTTGGCGCAAATAATTATCTAACGGTAGCTTATAGCATTCTGAATGTACCAGTTTAGGACACTGATGAAACGGCTTCCATACTGAACTTCTAATTTCGTGTTCAGGTTTTACTTCGATTTCTCTCCTACCTATGTTGGAGTTGGGATGATATGCCCGCACATTGTGAACGTGTCTGTTCTACTGGGAAGCATACTTTCCTGGGGAATAATGTGGCCTCTCATTCGAAACAAGAAGGGGAGTTGGTACTCTGCCAGTCTCTCAGAAAGCAGTCTTCATGGACTGCAAGGTTACAGGGTAAAGATCCATACAATCATCCATCTTTAGTTTTAACACCTGTTATAATCATCCAAGCTGCTAATCTGGAAATTCCTGACTAGTGCAGGTTTTTATATCCATTGCTATAATTCTTGGAGATGGCCTGTACAACTTTGTGAAGGTGCTCATTCGCTCTACCGCTGCATTTATATCAATGATGAAGAAAAACAGCACACTTCCGGTTTCAAACAATGGCAGCCCCATCACTGAAGCTGTTTCGTTTGATGACGAACGCCGCACGGAGCTGTTCCTGAAAGATCAGATCCCCAGATCAGTTGCCTATGGAGGGTACGTGGCTGTCGCTGCCATCTCAATCGGCACTCTTCCTCAGGTCTTCCCGCAGCTCAAGTGGTACTACATCCTGGTCGCATACGTATTTGCACCTGTGCTGGCCTTCTGCAACGCCTACGGGACTGGCCTCACCGACTGGTCCCTCGCGTCCACCTACGGCAAGCTCGCCATCTTCATCTTCGGCGCGTGGGCTGGCGCGTCCAATGGCGGCGTCCTCGTGGGGCTGGCCGCCTGCGGCGTGATGATGAGCATCGTGTCGACGGCCGCCGACCTGATGCAGGACTTCAAGACCGGGTACCTGACGCTGGCGTCGCCCAGGTCGATGTTCATCAGCCAGGTGATCGGCACGGCAATGGGCTGCGTCATCGCGCCCTGCGTCTTCTGGCTCTTCTACAAGGCCTTCACCGACATCGGCATCAGCGGCAGCGAGTACCCGGCGCCGTACGCCATCGTGTACCGGAACATGGCCATCCTCGGCGTGGACGGCTTCTCGTCGCTCCCCAAGAACTGCCTCACCCTCTGCTACATCTTCTTCGCGGCGGCCATCGTCGTTAACCTGATCAAGGACCTGGTGCCGAAGAAGGTCGCCAGGTTCATCCCGCTGCCGATGGCCATGGCGATCCCGTTCTACATCGGGTCCTACTTCGCCATCGACATGTTCGTCGGCACCGTGATCCTCTTCGCGTGGCAGATGATCAACAGGGCCAAAGCCGACGCCTTCGGACCTGCGGTTGCGTCAGGGCTGATCTGCGGCGATGGCATCTGGACCCTGCCGCAGTCCATTCTTGCGCTCGCCAAGGTGAAGCCGCCGATCTGCATGAAGTTCCTGTCCAGGTCGGTGAACGCCCAAGTGGACGGCTTCCTCGGAAATTAAGCTGTGAAAATTACGATCTGTCAGCAATCAGCATGAATCACAAGTGTATATTGTGTTGATGCACCATGCTGTAAAATGTACCGGGACGGGTAAATGTTGTTTCGTCACGATCTGCTTTTGCTGTACATGAGTAAGTACACTAGTCGTATACGCATCAGCATTATGGTACCAACACCCAACAGCTGTATGTTACCTGGGTTCAAATTTCAATTTCACAACTGTATCTCGTCATATATCGTCGATATCTGCAATGGTAAACCAAAACGTTTTGACTCGAATTTCCCTTCTCCAAGCGAAAGAACATCTGGGCCGTGCAATTCCGATCGGAGGGCTGCTACCAGCGCCAGCCCAGTGCCCACCAGAATCCCGGAGCCTGATCGTGACGCAACTGGATTCCACCTGCCTTCCAATAAATACGCCGATTACCAAGCATCAACCGAGCCATCACGAACCATTAGACAACCACCATGGCGACTGGCACCGCCGCCGCCAGCGCTTCCGGCGGCCCTGCCGCCCACGCGGGAGCCGACGCCTTGGAGTCAGGCGCCAGCCTGCTGCGGCGACGCCACGCCGGCGGGCTTGCGGGCGCGGACGCCGACGCCGACGGGGGCGGCAATGCCGAGGAGGTGGTGGTGGCCTCGGTGGAGCAGGCGTTCGCGGACAAGCCCGTGCCGTCGTGGCGGGAGCAGCTGACGGTGCGCGCCTTCGTGGTGGGGTTCATCCTCGCCATCTTGTTCAGCGTCATCGTAATGAAGCTGAATCTCACCACCGGCGTCATCCCCTCGCTCAACGTCTCCGCCAGCCTTCTCGGCTTCTTCCTCGTCCGCCTCTGGACGAAAGCAATCGAGAGCATGGGCTTGCTGAAGCAGCCCTTTACGCGACAGGAGAACACCGTCATCCAGACCTGCGTCGTCTCCGCCTATGGCCTCGCCTTTAGTGGTAAAACCCCCAAACCCCAGAGTGCTTTCGTCATTACTAATTAGGTTGTTTCTCTGCGTTCTCTTCCTCGTCAATTTTGTTAGATCAACAAGTTTCGGTGCATCACCAGTGGAAAAGCGCGGCTCTTTTTGTTTTCTGTTCTGGGATTGAGTCTACAGATTAGATCTATGCACAATAGTATTCACAACTCGCTTTTATATATAGGAAAAAAAATATACTGACTTTTTACGAAACATATTTCAAATATCGATAAACATGGGGATCTGAAGTATACATGGTTGATCTTTCAGAGATTAAAAATTCCGACTTTGGGCAAGACTGTGAATTCTTTTAGCTTTTACATTGCATGATGATTGCTACAGATTTTCTTGTTACCTTTCGCATTGTGAAATATCAAATAAAACAATATAAAATTTTAGCCTTTATTCATCACAAAATTCCAATTGAACAGGTGGGTTTGGCAGTTACCTATTTGGTATGAGTCGAAGCATTGCTGAGCAAGCAACAGAGGCCAATGATGCCCAGAATATCAAGGATCCTCACCTCGGATGGATGATAGGGTTTATGTTCCTCGTCAGTTTTGTTGGACTTTTCGTTCTGGTTCCTCTGAGAAAGGTAGATGCTTCTTTTTACACTAATTCTTGAGGGATAACAGCATGTTAAAACAACCTTTCTATGGTTATGTCAACTGAAGTAAATGCTTTCAGGTTATGATTGTCGATTACAAACTGACCTACCCTAGTGGAACTGCAACCGCTTACCTCATCAACGGATTCCACACACCCCAGGGTGCCGAACGTGCAAAGTAGGCAACATGAACTCTGCTAGCCTGTCATTATTAAAAATCAGCATGTGTTTATTGATAATAATGTAATCTATTACAGGAAGCAAGTTCGAACCTTGGGCAAGTACTTCTCACTCAGTTTCCTTTGGGCCTTCTTCCAGTGGTTCTACACAGCTGGGGATGATTGTGGATTCGCCTCCTTCCCATCACTCGGCCTTGAAGCTTACAAAAACAAGTCAGTACCACTACATCCCGGTCTCAGATTCCAACAATGCTAAATTTTGAGAGAGTAGCTCCACACTCTTTTATTATATTACCATGCAGTCATGGACTAATGCATGCAGTCTTTATTTAATCTCTCTAACTTAGGAGTTGTCTGCTGGTTATTGTTATTTTTATGATATTATGATCTCATATATGATTTGTTATAATTCCATTGTCTTTAACTACTTATAAAAAAATATTTGCTGTTTTACAGGTTCTATTTTGATTTCTCAGCTACTTATGTTGGTGTTGGAATGATATGCCCATATATCGTAAATGTGTCTCTTCTTCTTGGAGGCATCATTTCGTGGGGAGTAATGTGGCCACTTATCAGCACAAAGAAAGGAAGTTGGTACCCCGAATCTCTTCCTGATAGCAGTCTACACGGACTTAATGGTTACAAGGTGAATTACAGTTGTTGATTTCATTCAAAAAATAAATAAATTACAATGGGTCATACAAGAATTCAGAATTTTGCGGTTTCACAGCTACTAAGAACTGATGACGTATAATTGCAGGTGTTTATAACCATAGCCGTAATTCTTGGGGATGGCCTGTACAACTTCTTGAGAGTATTCGGTCACACAATAGGAGCATTCATATCAATGTATTGGAAGAAACATGCAAACACACTTCCCGTGTCCGACAATGGGGCCCCTCCTGCCACAACTGAAATTGAGTCATTTGACGACAAGCGTCGCATTGAGCTATTCGTTAAGGATCAGATTCCCAAGTCAGTTGCATTGGGTGGTTATGTCTGTCTGGCAGCTATAACGATCGGCTGTCTCCCTCTCGTCATCCCCCAGATCAAGTGGTACCACATTTTGGTGGCATACATCTTTGCACCTATACTAGCCTTCTGCAATGCCTATGGATGCGGCCTAACAGATTGGTCCCTCGCCAGCACCTATGGCAAGCTTGCAATCTTTGTCATTGGTGCATGGGCCGGGGCTTCACATGGCGGAGTGCTTGTTGGATTAGCTGCATGCGGTGTCATGATGAGCATTGTGGGAACAGCTTCTGATCTGATGCAAGACTTAAAGACTGGGTACCTGACTCTAGCCTCGCCAAGGTCGATGTTCATTAGCCAGGTGATAGGCACTGCCATTGGATGTGTTACTGCACCATGTGTCTTCTGGTTGTTTTACAAGTCCTTCGATATTGGTGCGAGTGGCGGCGCTTATCCAGCACCTTACGCCATCATGTACCGCAATATGTCAATCCTTGGCGTGGATGGACTGTCCTTGCTTCCAAAGAACTGCCTCACTCTATGCTACATTTTCTTTGCTATTTCCTTCGCCATCAATTTGATCAAGGATCTGGTGCCACAGAAAGTTGCCAAGTTCATCCCCATCCCCATGGCAGCAGCAATTCCTTTCTACCTTGGACCGTACTTCGCTATTGACATGTTCTTGGGCAGTGTGATACTCTACTTTTGGGAATGGAAGAACAAAGCTGAAGCAGACTCGCTCGCACCAGCTGTTGCGTCAGGCTTGATGTGTGGTGATGGGCTCTGGGCACTGCCCCAGGCTGTTCTTTCTCTAGCCAATGTGAACCCTCCTATTTGCATGAAGTTTTTGTCGAGGTCTGTGAATGCCAAAGTGGACACCTTCCTTGGGAACTAGACGGGTGAGAGTTTGACCGGAGTAGAATTCTCTTTCTTTTGTAAGATAAGATGAAAGTGGTTAAATAATTAGTCATGTAAATTTATATTGGTCTAGTTGGGCAGTGGTCATATTTCGTTTTAGTATTCAAGCACAATTGGACATTTTTTTTCCTGATTTGCCTAGTACTGTAATTTTCTGGTTGACATCTATCAAAATAATTTGTTGCGGTCCAGATTATCTAATATTCTCTCCATCCCAAATCATAAGTCATTATAACTTTTTTTAAGTCAAAGTATCTTAAGTTTTGACCAAATTTTATATAATAAAATAATAACATTTATGATACTAAATAAGTATTATTATATTTTTTATTTTTTATTAATTATATTTTCATAGTATATCTATTTGATGTCATAAATCTTTGTAATTCTCTCTATAATTTTAGTTAAACATGAGATGCTTTGACTCTCAAGAAAGTTGAAATGAATGGAGGGGAGTAGAATTTAGGCTTTGTAATAACAAATCAACTTATGTTCTGGGGCCGAGACTTAGGTTGCTCTTGCCCAACTGAATAAGAATGAGCACGGACAGATTGTGGAGGCACAAACCAAAACCCACGTTCACTACCACCGCAAGAGCACACGCTAGCTGCACACGTTCACCACCATCTACTCCTATCCCATCTTTCTGCCGGCCATCTACTCGTATTCCGTTTCACGCCACCATCTACTCCTATCCATCTTTCTGCCGTTGGACACAAGTCCAAACTATATCCGTAGCCTTTCCATCTTTCTGCCACCATCTACTCCTATTCCGTTTCACCACCATCTACTCCTATCCATCTTTCTGCCGTTGGACAATCCATCTTCTGCCGTTGGACAATCCATCTTTCTGCGGCAAGAGCAAAAGGCTACTTCATCCATTCCAAAATGAGGTCATTTTAGTTTTATCAATTGTCAATACGTCAAATTTCTCTAACTTTTAACCAAAAGTTTATATAAAAATACATTAACATCTACAATACCAAATAAACACACTATTTGATGTTATAGATGTTGATGTGTATAATCTATAAATTTACTCAAAGCAAAATAAACTTGACTTGGGAAAACGAACTACATTTCTGAACCGAGGGAGCAAGTCGGGATCTATTATGAATTGACTGTACCGCTCTTCTTTTTTTTCGTGCACATCAGCACATGCATGTTGATGTTGCGTGCTGCATCCCATGCTAAGAATTTGAGGAGCAGCACTACTTACTCCCGCACCGTTGAACAGATACCGAGAAGGAAGCATGCTTCGCTTGGTGCATTTGTTGTTGACAAGTGTCATTGGTTACTGTCAGTCCCTAAAATGGCGGTAACAGAACTAACAGTTAGATCCAGATTCTAACTGCCTTCCATTATCTAAAAAGAGAGATTCTAAGCCGTATCATCAGTAGCAAACAACAAGCGGCTCCTCATATCGCTCTCTACTCCCAAAGCATCAAACGAGTCACGCACAGACTGACACCACACCACACCCCATGGCTCCAGCAGGCACCGCCACCGGCAGCGCGTCCGGCGGCTCAGCCGTACACGACGACGCCGAGGCCATGGAACTAGGCCACGACAACCTGATCCGCCGTCGCCACGGCACCGGAGCTGCCGCTGGCGTCGCAGGCGAAGCCGACGACAGGATCGGCAGTGCCGACGACAGGATCGGCAGTGCCGCCGCCGCCGCCGCCGCCAGTAAGGAGTTGGCCCCGCCGTCGGTGGAGCAGGCGTTCGCGGACCAGCCCGTGCCGTCGTGGCGGGAGCAGCTGACGGTGCGCGCCTTCGTGGTCGGGGCCCTCCTCTCCGTCGTGTTCAACGTCATCCTCATGAAGATCGACCTCACCACGGGCATCAACCCGTCGCTCAACGTCTGCGCCAGCCTCCTCAGCTACTTCCTCCTCCGCACCTGGACCAGGGCCATCGGGTGCATGGGCTTGCTCAAGCAGCCATTCACGCGCCAGGAGAACACCATGATCCAGACCTGCGTCGTCTCCGCCTACGGCATCACCTTCACTGGTAAAATAAAGCCCAAACCTGCGAGCCTGCGCTCATTTGCTCGTCAGTTTTTTTTTTTTTTGAGGGAACTTGCTCGTCAGATTTCATTCCTAGATCGAAGAATCATCCGGCTCTAGTTATTTCTGGCTTCCAGATTAAATCTACATTAGATCTGTGCTAGTGCAATGGCATTCACAACCTGTTGTATCTATTGTGTCACCAAATGACTTTTTTTTTTTTGCAACAAGTGGAAATTCAGTCCCTGGTAAACGAGGATCTTCACACATTATTGGTACCATCTATAAATACTTTGGCAAAAAGTAGATTTCAACCATACGATCAATTACAATCAAACTACAGATTGTGTGACATGTCAGTTGTTCCAACACAAATCAGCGGGCCCTCACAGTCCACTGAGGTTCATGACTTCATGTAGCTCTCTTCCCCCCCCGCCCTTCGACCACAAGTCAATCAACACCATTCACTTGCATCAAGATCTGTGATGGATCCTTCAACACTTAGAAAACCCAGTTCACCGCATCCAATTCCCCTGTTGTCAATCCTGTGTCACCTATGCTTGCACCCAAAATGATTGCTGACTCTGTACAACTCAGGTAGGCCACGCTACAGCAACACAATGCATGTTTTTTTTTGTTTTTTTTATAAGGACAATGCATGCTTGTTGGTTGCTGGTATTTCCATCATCCAATCCCACAACAAATCGAAGAAAGTCGCTTGAAATATAGATAAACATGGGGGTATTGAAGAAATTAATTCTGACTGGGCTAGGCATTGTTCACTGGATCATGGGCCATGCTTTATTTTGGGATATAATCCTAGAAATATTATGGATGCTATTACCGACAGTGTGAATACATTTAGATTTGACATTGCATGACAATTCCTACAATTTATATTTTTTATACTTTCAGCGTGGTAAGACAAGAAACAATATAATCATATCATAGAGTTGCCACTGAATAATTATAATTTAACAGGTGGGTTTAGCAGTTATCTGTATGGTATGAGTGGAACTATTGCTCAGAAGACAGAGGCCAATGATCCTCAGGATATCAAGGATCCCCACCTCGGATGGATGATAGGGTTTATGTTTCTCGTCAGCTTTGTTGGTCTTTTTGCTCTGGTTCCTCTGAGAAAGGTAGATGTTTCACTTTCCCACTGTATTCTTCAGGGATATTCTGCAAAAAGGTTCCATGATCATCAACTGGAGTACACGTTTTCAGGTTATGATTGTGGATTACAAACTGACTTACCCAAGTGGAACTGCTACTGCTTACCTCCTCAATGGATTCCATGCACCGCAGGGTACTGAACGCGCAAAGTAGGCGACATTAACTCTTGTAACCTGACATCATTATTAAAAATCAAGCATTGTTATTGATAAGATCATATTCTATTTCAGGAAACAGGTTAGGACGTTAGGCAAGTACTTCTTCCTTAGTTTCCTTTGGGCATTCTTCCAGTGGTTCTACACAGCTGGGGATCACTGCGGATTTGGCTCTTTCCCAACACTCGGCCTTGAAGCTTATAAAAACAGGTCAGTATGGATGTGTCCTGGACTCTAATTCGAAAAAAAAGCTCCAAACTTACTTAGGAGTATTTATTAAGTGATTAGTTGATTACAACGTAGTCATGCATACATGCTCTAATGAGTACAATATTCAGATGCACTAACTACTCCATTTGTCTTAGGAAGTGTCTGCTGGCTATTCTCGATTTTATAATCATGCTCTCCTGTGTGATTAGTTATAGTCCTATTGTTCTTAAGTACCTAAAAATTTATCATTTTGCAGGTTCTTTTTTGATTTCTCACCTACTTATATTGGTGTTGGAATGATCTGCCCCTATATTGTAAATGTGTCTCTTCTTCTTGGAGGCATCATCTCCTGGGGAATAATGTGGCCATTGATCCGCACAAAGAAAGGAAGTTGGTACCCCAAGACTCTTCCAGATAGCAGCCTACATGGACTGCAGGGTTACAGAGTAAGCTATAATTTAGTCCTACTAGCATGCAAACTTTAGCTTTCTGCAACCAATGTATTATTACCCAGAACTGAGAGCATAACACTGCAGGTGTTTATAACCATAGCAGTAATTCTTGGGGATGGCCTGTACAACATATTGAAGGTACTTTATCGCATAATAGAAGCCTTCATATCAAGGTACAGGAATAGAAATACAAACACGCTTCCTGTGTCCAACGATGGCACCCCTGCTAATACCACTGAAATTGAGTCGTTCGACGACAAGCGTCGTCTCGAGGTATTCATGAAGGATCAAATTCCCAAGACAGTTGCATTGGGAGGCTATGTCGTTCTGGCAGCTATAACAATTGGTTGTCTCCCTCTCATAATCCCACAGCTCAAATGGTACCATATTTTAGCTGCGTACATCGTTGCACCTGCACTGGCCTTCTGCAATGCCTATGGATGTGGCCTAACAAATTGGTCCTTCGCAAGTGCCTATGGTAAACTTGCAATCTTTAGCTTCGGTGCGTGCGCAGGTGCTTCACATAGTGGTGTGCTTGTCGGACTGGCTGCATGTGGTGTGATGATGAGCATTGTGGGAACAGCTGCTGATCTAATGCAAGACTTCAAGACTGGGTACCTGACACTGGCCTCGCCAAGGTCCATGTTCATAAGCCAAGTGATAGGCACTGCCATGGGCTGTGTTATTGCCCCCTGCGTCTTCTGGCTGTTTTACAAGTCATTTGATGTTGGAGCAAGCGATGGCGCTTACCCAGCACCTTACACATATATGTACCGTAACATGGCTATCATGGGCGTTGATGGATTGACCCTTCCAAAGCATTGCTTCACATTATGCTACATCTTCTTTGCGATCTCCTTCGGTGTCAATTTGATCAAGGACCTGGTGCCGAAGAAGGTAGCGAAGTTCATCCCCATCCCCATGGCAGTAGCCATTCCTTTCTATGTTGGAGCCTTCTTCACTATTGATATGTTCTTGGGCTGTATGATACTCTTCATCTGGGAAAGGAAGAATAAAGCTGAAGCAGACTCGTTCGGACCAGCAGTTGCATCAGGCTTCATGTGTGGCGACGGGCTCTGGGCACTACCCGAGGCTATTCTTTCTCTTGCAAATGTGAAACCTCCCATTTGCATGAAGTTTTTGTCAAGGTCTGTTAATGCCAAAGTGGACTCTTTCCTTGGGAACTAGTGGGTGCTAGTTTGATAGTAGAATAGAATTTTTCTTTCTTTCATAGTTGAGTGGTTGAATAATTCTGTAAATTTGTGGAGTCTCATTGGGCAGTGGTCATAACTTTTTAGTAATGACTAATGAAGAACAATTAGAGAAGTCGCCTGATTTTCTTAGTGCTGCAATTGTCTGGTTGCTATATCTAGAATTTAATTTTCTTGGTCCAGAATATCTCTAGTGGATCAAGAATGCAAGATTGCAAATCTGCTTGGTGTTAGTACTGCACAGTTGACAAATCATGTGATTCTGTGAGGCAAGACTTCTTCTTTGCTATAAGCCAGGTCTGTAGGTATGGTCGAATCTGATAAGTTCAGACTTTTGAAGGAATAATTGGGCGTTTTGGCCTTTTGGGGCCGAGTCTTAAACAGGAACAGCCATCATATTCACGTATGGAAACGGAGGGTGGATGGTGGAAGAGAGACGTTTGCGGCGAGAAGCGGAATGCAAACTTACCAGTCAATCTCGCGCTTCCCCGAAAATCGAATCCCACCAGTTCGCCTTCCGCTTCCATCGGTCATCGCCACTGCTCCGGCGCATCTCTTCTTCGGTACTGCCCGTGGAGGGCACCAAATCCTCGAGCGTCCATGACGGTGTAGAGGACAAAAAGGCCTGGATTCAAGAGGTGGAGCAGGATCGTCGGGAGACCCTTCCGAGGTTCCTCATCCGCGCCGGTGCTGGTCGTCCGCTGCGGTGCCGATGCGGCGGCCGCCTGGCCGGAGCGAGCGAGTGTGATGGGCTGCATTTTCACCTGGGCCAGTACAAATGGCAGAAACGGAGGCCCAGACGATGGTGTGGAGCCCTTGTGGACGGCCTGTGGTGTGGGTTTGCATCTGTGTCACTGTGTGCTTCGCCCGACAGGCAGGAGGCTGGGCTTTGTTTGGTCCGATTGGCAGTTGAGCCTTGCACGGACTAAGTCTGCTACCGACTACGTGCCCCTTGGCACAAAACCAAATTAATCCGAGTACCTGCCGCCTCCGCGCGTGCGTGCGCGCAGCTGTGCCACGCCGAATGCCAGCCGAGTGCCGTGCTCTGCTGTGCAGTGTGACGACAGCATGACATCATGCTTACGTCATATACCACATTTTCCCTTAAAAATAAAATCAGAAATACAATAAAAATACAAGAAATCTGAGCCATTGAACGTTGATGGTGCACGTGAGTAGGATAGCCAGCTCAAGGCCTATATCTTTGTTACTTTGTATATAATTTTAGCTATATTTTATATTCCATGCAAGTAAAATCTTCTATTTTTATTGTATTTTATATTCCATGAAAATAAACTCTGCCATATTGTGTTGCTCATACAACTGTGCAACGATGAAATAACGAATCGCTAGCCCAAAAAATGATCGTATCAAGATGCTCGTACATGTCCGTACACCCATCTCTATGAACACACGCACACACGTCCTACCCTTTTGAGCACCTCTAAAGACGATTAGATTTTCTGATCTCGCCATTTAAAACTAAGAGATTTAAAGTATACCAACTTAATAAAAGTTTAATGAATCTCTACACCTAAACATATTGTAACGTCATCATATACCCAGTAATGCCAAGTTTTGAGTCCTGCTTACGCGCATCCAATATGAATCAACCTACACTCGAAGCTCGCACGTTCGCGTCCTACCCGGTTCTACTACGAAGATCGGATCAACGTATCCACGTCTGATAAGAAGTTCTTAGAACTCACGCATCCGTGTCCGATTATTGAGGTTCAATCCAAACAAAAATGTGATCCCGGTGCAACGCACAGGCATATATCTAGTTATAAAAAATGGCTTCTTAATTTACCACCGCAAATTTGTATCTACGAAAAAAAATCAAAGCGACTTATAATTTGAAAACGGAGGTCGTTGGGCAATTGTGTGGGTCACCTTACTAATTTGTAATATACTTTTAATAAAACTGGAATAGTTTAAAATTTCATTTTAATTTTCACCACAAATACGTAGAATTTAGGCCATGTTCGCTTTGCTGAAAAGCCATGGCTGAAAGTACTGTTTACTGATTTGTTACGAGAGAAAAACACTGTTCGTTCTCTGAAATAGTACGGCTCTGAGCGAACATGGCCCTAGTCTCTGCAATCATCGTGTGAATTAGAATTAGAATTCCCAGGAGTGCACGTAGGGTGCTACGAAATGTTGAAAGTCCATCCCGCACAGCCGCACCTTGGTACTTGGGTTATGTAGCTAACTTGGTCCAGTATGTGTCGCCCCACGCTGCCCAATCGTCTCCATCAGCCCATGTGCAGAACCCGGCCCGCTCTTGGCCTTCAAGGCTTATCAGGTGCTCTAGTACTACTGGACTACTGCGTGCAATACCTACTGAAGCAAGCGGTAGCTGTAATTTTAAATTTTTTGTTCTGGTAATCGGTAAGGCTACTGCACGGATGTCTGGACCCAAGCCCGTGTCCAAACACAGCTCCTGCCGCACCCCATCTTGCCCCCGCGCGTTCACCGTGCCCGCATAATACGAGAGCCTGCCCGCTGCGCTTGCGCCACGCGCGACGGCGATGGCATAGGTGAGCAGGCCGTTGATCAGGAGCAGCGTGAGATGAGGACCCACTCCAAGGTCGCGTACGCCACCGTGAACACCTACGCGTCCTCCGCTAGAGCGCTACCGCCAGCTTACAACCAACGCTGTCATGGCTCCCGCGCTAGCTCCCTCTTTCTCGCTCAACCACCCTACATCGAGATCTATTTTTGCAACACTCAGATAGATAAAACATTTGAAACGTACACTTGCAACATAGTCATTGTAACATGAGCAACATCCAGATAGAACACTTGTAACACGTCTAAAACAAATGAAATATTTTGAACAAACTCTTGCAACATACCTTTGAAACACTTGCAACATGTGCAACATCTCGATCTACTTTTGCAACATCCATATAAAACAATTGCAACATACTATTGAAACATCTTAAACACTTAAACATATATTTACAACATAGGGGAGGGGAAGGTCGAGGCCGGTAGATTCTGGTCATCAGGGTGGGATACGGCGGCGCATGAGCACTACCATGCCAGCACCAGCATCTGCAGCGGCGCACGAGCACAACCACCACCGGCACCACCATCGCCGCACTTGGCTCGCCCCGGGCGGGCAGCATGCGCTACGAGAGGGAGCGGGCGGCGGGCGGCCGGAGCAAGGACCGAGCGGTGCGGGTGGGGTGCGCGACAGGCGGGAGTGACCCGTCGAGGAGCAAGAGCGAGTGCGTAGGTGAGGCGCGTGATGGGAGAAAACAGCGAGGCAGACTGAGACGCGTGGCATCCGGATGGGGCGGACGCCTGTGGTCAAGCATTATCGTTTGGTAATCTCTAGCACAGCAGTGCATGTTCCACCATGGACGATTATCATCATCAGACCACAAAATTAACATGTCCTGTTACAATTCTCCATATTTTCTGGTTGGTCGACAGCTTAACATGCTTGTCTGGTAATGACTCGATTCTTTACCCTGTATTCCAGTAGGTCTCGGAGTCCTAGTTCAGGTAGAATAATATTTTTTGAATTTTTTGCAGGTATAAGACGACCACCACCGCCGCTGCCGCCATGAACGACATGTGTGTTGAAGGTTTAGCTAAAAAAAAATTCTCCGCGGCCATGGCTAACCGGCCTAGTGATTCGCCATCGGTCGTCAACCACCAGATGTTACCGGAAACGTGGTCGACATGCCGGACGCAGGCCATCACAGGCACGCACAACTTCGTGGTGACCGACTTCTCGTCGCTCGACGGCATGGACGCCGGCGAGTACGTCAGCTCGGGCACCTTCTTCGTTGGCGACTGCGAATGGAGCATCAGGTTCTACCCCGGCGGCGACGATTCAAAGGACGACAAACCTGCTGCTTATACGGCGGTGCGTTTGAGTCTTCTTGACGGACCACCAGATGTGAGGGTTAAGTTCAGTATAAGCCTGCTGTTTGATAAAGACAGTCAAGCGCCGTCGTCGGGGAAGAAATGAAAAAAGAAGGGATCAGCAGAACAAGAAGATAAACAAGTACCAATAATTGCAAGAACCTTGTTCACGGACACAAGAACCTATGACACGGAGCACAGTAACAACTGGGGCTGGTCTGATTTCATCGAGAAATCCAAGCTAAGAGAGCTGCCGCACGGCTTCACGATCCGGTGCGCCGTGACCGTCGTGAAGCATCGAACCGAAGAAGCGGCGACCGTCGTAGCCCCCACGTCGGACCTGTACCGGGCCTTCGCGCGCATGCTGGAGGCCGCCGATGTCACGATCAGCGTCGGCGACCGGTTCTTCCTCGCCCACAGGTACATGCTCGTCGCGTGGTCCAGGGTGTTCAGGGCGCAGCTCTTCGACGCCAAGGAGGAGAGCTTCACGGGCTGCATCCGGATCGAGGACATGGAGCCGTCCGTGATCGAGAGGCTTCCGCACTTCGAGTACACGGAGTCCTTGCCGCATAGGAGCTTCCAAGTGCCGACCGACCTGTCAACCTTCCACGAGCCGACTGGTAGGCCTATCGGCTACTCAGAAGCCCGAGGAGCTTCCAAGTGCCGACCGACCTATCGGCCTTCCACGAGCCGACTGGTAGGCCTATCGGCTACTCGAAGCCGACATGTACCTATCGACCATTCACAGGACTGTAGGTTGCCATACGTAAATTTTTTTTGTATAACCGCTTCTAGATCTGCTATACCTGTCTACGCAGGTCCATCCACGGTGTCTCTTGCATCATTTGTGTAACATTTATGATATCTTTCCCCAAGTACATTTATTTCACTTTCTTGTATGCTTGAACGTTGATATCTATATGTCCACAACGTTTTCTTTGATTGTACTGGTTTAAGGAACGGAGTTGCAAGAGTGGGGTGCCTCTTTTCTAAAGAATTTTTTTTAATCGATGGTTCTTGTGTTTGTATCAAGCGAGATCTAGAGCGCCCGGTGACAAAGTGTTTTTCCTTTTGAAAAAACCTATTCCTATATTA